TATGATGTGAAAGATTTGTGTGGTATAAATGTAAAGAGCAAAGTTTAGATGTTAGATATGTAATTACAAAGGAAATTTGTGGTATGTTTGAAAGTGACCCTTATTTTTATTTTTATTTTTAATTTTTAACCTTGACAAACATTCTTTACTTCTGTTGCAGAGTATTAAAAAGTCCGAATGCCCAAAAGAGCTTGAACCAGCAGATAGGAGATCAGCAGTCCACGTTAATCTCATAAGAAGAGGAGAGAACTACACTGTGGGTTCTATCTCTTACTCCCATATTTCATTAGGAAGATGTACATTTACATTTACAATTACAATTCAATTCCTATATTTTTACATATCTACTTCCTTACCTATGCATGTGAAAATTAAAATGGTGTTATAAATGTAAAATACTAAGTTTAGTGTTATATATGTAAATACATAGGAACTAAGTGGTATATATGTCCTATTTTATTATTCCTCCTATTTCTAATGTCTCCTTTTGAATACCTTCTTACAGGAACCAGTGAAACGTCCTTCTCCATTTCAGGGCATCGGAAGAACTCTCGGCGGCGGATCCTCCGCTTCCGAACCTCCCCCATCATCCTCCGCCTCCCCTCCCACCCCCTTTCAAGGTCTTTCCATCGACGAATCATTACCCTTAACTTCGATTCAACTCAGATTAGCCGACGGCACTCGAATGGTTTCTCGCTTCAATATCCACCACACGGTTGGCGATATTCGAGGATTTATCGACGCATCAAGACCTTTGGCGGCTAGGAACTACACGCTACAGACGGTTGGTTTCCCACCCAAGCTTCTCACTGATGTCTCTCTCACCATTGGGGAAGCTGGCCTAGCTAATTCTGTCGTGATTCAGAAATTCTAAGTCATTTTGGTTTGTAATTCTGAAAATAATTGTTTTATGAGACTCGAATTTATTCTACAATGTTGCGTTTATTTTGCTGAAAACTCTTGTTTTTCAGTGCTTTCTATGGTGAAAAAATGGAATTGAAATATGCTATCATGTTGTTATTTGTTTCTTTTTTTGTTTTCTTTGTTA